GAGCCAGATTATTTTTTTCAATTCTAATTTTTCTACTCATTTTCGACCACACATTTTTCAATAAGATAATATTTTACAGAACTCTGCTACATGTACATCATGCTGTATGCTGTACACTCCCCTCACATAGAGGGGATTCGCAAATTTTTTATTCATGGTGGGCCTCATAGGGGGGTGTACACCATGCTGTATAACATGTTGTACAACCATCATTTTCCTATTTTACATCACATTAATAACTTTTTCCTTCTTTTTCAATCACATATTCCCCATCACATCAAAAAAAAAATGCATTGTTATGAAAATAATGTGGCTCAAACAGGGGCTAAGCGTCATTTGAAGTTCTATTATTTAAATTTACCCGAAAATAGATTTTAACCAACTAATAGTTCAACATCAGCCTCCTCGTGTCAAGGACGATTTACTACTTTAACACTTTAAGTGATGTTCCTTGAAGTTAACTTCTAAGACCTCAACAAGTTATTCATAAGAAATATGCATGTGAAATTATTCCTTGTCTTATATTTTTTATGTGTCGTCTAAGCTTTTAGTACCTTTTTAGGGCTTATCTTCAACAAAAAATTAATGGTCAAATGATGAAATTAACATAACATGGGCTAAATACACACCTAAATAAGTTATTTACTTCTTTTAGAGTGAGCCGAATCTTGCAGTAAATTCATAATGAAATTCCAATGATTTCGATCAGGGAACATTACATATATATGATGATTGCAAAATACAATTTCAAAATTAAGAAATTAGTTTTATTATTTCAAAAATTGGGTATTAATGAAATGTTATTTATTAAGGCCCCGTTCGGTAGTGATTAAAATCCAATTAAAATTGAAAATATAGCCGTTATTGGATCTCACTCCTCTAATAAAAGTCAACAATAACGGCTAGTTTTTCAATTTTAATCCGATTTTAATNGGGTATTAATGAAATGTTATTTATTAAGGCCCCGTTCGGTAGTGATTAAAATCCAATTAAAATTGAAAATATGGCCGTTATTAGGTCCCACCCGTCTAATAAAAGTCAACAATAACGGCTATATTTTCAATTTTAATCCGACTTTTAAAAAATATTTTAAATTAAAACATATTAATGTCACAATATTATATAATTTATAGTTACAATTATATATTAATCACAATTGTAGGCATCATAGTCACAAATCACAAGTTTTACGGATTACGACTTATTTCTCAATCACAAATTATCAAATTAATTAGTTAAATATTATTTCTCGATCACAAATCACAAATTTTATATGTTATAATTCCTTTATTTATCAAATTAATATGTCACATATTAATCATTTCTCACAAATCACAAATGCATACGTCACAATTTATTTATCGATCACAAATTATCAAATTAATAAGTCACATATAAGTTACAACTTATTTTACGATTACAAATTATCAAATTAATTGGTGAAAAGTTATTTTTCGGTTATACATTATTAAATTAAATTGTCATAACTTGACAAATTGTGAGTTACAATTACAAATTTAATCAAAATCTCACATTTTTTAGACCACATATTATTTATTGATTACAAATTATCTATTTTATCGATTACATATTATTTATCGGTCACACATTAACTAATTTTTGGTTAAAATCAACCAAATAATTGATCATAAACGCTCAAATAATTGGTCAAAAACACTTGTCCCAACAAAACAACTACAACCACACCACCACAAAGTCACTAGCACCGCCACCGCCACCGCCACCGCCACCACCAACTACAAACACTACCAACAAACCCATCCCAAAACCACTGTTGTAGCCCGAGCTATTGCCATAGCCATTCCCACCTCCACTTCCACTATTCCTTCCACCACCACTACCAGACGCAGTGCCATTACCTCCTCCTCCATTTCCTACTCCACCTGACCCATATCTCGAAGCATAGCCAAAACTAGATCTAAAATAAGAACCATAGCCAACATCACCACAATTCGCTAGCACCACCAACATCAACATGATCCGCCAATATCACCACTACCTCACCACCGAAGCCAACATCACCACCACCAACAAAGTTACCGAAGCAGTGGCCACGCGGCAATTGTAGCGAGAGGCATCATTGCAGAGAGCCGCATAACGACTGTAGCTAGGTTATCGACGCTGGGCGGGGGTCTGCGCTGTTTGAAGGAGATTAAAATCTACCTAAAAAGGTTAATAAAATCAAGCCTCTGTTTGAAGGAGCTTATGATCAAAATTTTAGCAAATTTTGATAAAAGTTGATAAAATGTATAGTTAAAAAGTTGTAGGTCCCATGAAATTTCATCTGATTAAAATTAATATTTTTTTATCGAGCAGAGACCGAATTTAAAGTTAATAATTAATTTTAATCTCATATTTCGTGGGAAGATTTACAACTTTTCAACAACACATTTCATTAATTTTTAATAAAGTTTATTAAAAATATAATTTTAATACCTATCAAACATGGACAAAAATTGTTCACTATAGTT